GCCGACTGTCGGCCACTGGGTAAGGGCGCTCACCACCCACAGGAGTTCCTGGGGCAGGAGGGCCGGGATTTGCGCCCTCGCCGATGCGGCGCCCTCGCTCTGGCCAGCCAGACCAAAGCTGTCGCCTCCCACTCCGGTGATTGCCCCAATTAGCCCGTTGTTTGGCAAACAGTCTGCGCGGCGCCCGGCGAGGGAAGCACGGCTGCGGGGGCCGCCACAGGTCCCAAAGCGCTGCAAGAAACTTCCTGGCCCCGCTTGGCCCACAGTCTGCCCAGCTCCTCAGTGAGGAGGCGCCGCTGATGGCGATTGCAATGGCCCAGACAGGAGCTCCAATCGTCTCCGGTCAGGGCGTGTTTGCGAGGAGGTGCCCAACAAAAGGCGGTGCAGCTGCCACACAGAATGAGAAGGGCGCTCAGCCCTTGGCCCAGCCACCCTGGATCCGGAGCCATGGCGCGAGAGATACCCGAAGGGCTACTAGTAGGCTTGAGCCAACCCCAAATCTTGAAAACTAGTTGCTACCTCCTTTCAGTGTTCCGGCGTGCCCAGACCCTTCTGCGTGGAGCGTCCTTGGAATTTTGCTCGGAATTGACAACCTTCTGAATGTTCGCAGGGTGTCATGGACGCTCCTGCGTGGAGCGTCCTCAGAATACAGCCTCGCCTTTCCAGGGCGCTCTGGCGTGGGGAATCCGACCTGTGGACGGCGCACCCACGTGCTGACGGTGCTCGTGTGGAGCATCCTCAGAATCCGGCCTCGCAACGGCGCTCCCGCATGGAGCGTCCTCACCGCGTAGAAGCATCGTTCCTGTCACACAGCAGATGTCGACCTTGAGCCTGCCGGGATTGGAAATCTAAAAGCATGTGTGCGGCAGTGAATCGCGCGAAGGTAAAGCTGCTCCCAGCCTCGTGTCTCAAAATGAATGGAACAAAATATTCCTTACTTGGTGGTCGCCTTGCTTATGATGCCTGCTTGGTTGTCGCTTTGCTTTACTGCGACTTTCTCTTAATTGCAAACAGCGTTGCGAAGGGCAGTTCCGGATGGACGGACGGACGAATGAAGAAATGAAAGGATGACATGATATCAAATGTAGTGGTGCTGACCACCTCACTGCTCTAATCGCTTTGGGGACACTAATTCCCTAGTTTCTCTTTTATCCTCTTACATGGATGGCATAAACATACATTTGTGTATGATACGCGTTAAACAGGCGACGGAACAATCTAACATTTGTCATACTGAATGCCTTCCCCGCCTGGTGCAGACCTCCATGCCTTCCTTGGGCGCCTCGTAGCCCGGCAGGCAGGGAGCGCACTCCACGGAGCCCACGTCCCGGGCGGAGCGGCCCGCAGCACAGAGTTGGCACATCGTCTGGCCCGTGGCGTTCGCAAAGCTGCCTTTGGGACACGGCACGAACTGGGCATTGACCCCCCCCATGCACATCATGCCCCTTGGGCAGAGTCTGCATTGCCTGGATTGTTCCTCTGTGTAAAACCCGGCATGACATGTTATAAGGTCATCCAGTGGCTGACGCCCAATGTGACCATTCATCCACACGAGCTGGCTCTGATTCAGAAAAAAGCAGCTGCGATTGGATGCGCTGAACACGGCTACGGAGGAAACCAGAGGCGTCCGCTCCTCTCCCTGCACGTTCAGGAGATCGTACTCTGCTAAGCGATCCCCATTCGCATCGAAACGGACATTTCCAGAAACGCCTTGGAAAACTAATTGGCGGATCTCCTCAAGCAATAGTTGACCCCTCACATTGCGCTCTGCAACTCCCTTGCGAAGAAGCTGGTTGATGGCAATGACAAAGGCGTACGCAGCATCAAAGGCAAAGCCGTGGTATGCTTGCAGTTCAGCTGACAGCGACGCATTGGGCATGTCGCTCACAGGCGTCCTCATGCTTTGCAACTTATACCTTGCTTGCGCGTCCTCACCAAGGAGGTCCATATACTCCAGTCTTGACCAGAAAGCTGAGAACTCAGAAAACTTTGGGCCTTGGCCCTGAGCAAGCACCATCATAAAGCCTCGAGGTAGAAAGGAATGCGACGTGCCCCATGCAAGCGAATCTGAGCCAATTGCTTGCCATCCCGTCCCCAAGAGTCCTTCTTCTTTCATGAGGGGCATTAGGTATGGGATCATGCTGAATTCGAGCAACAGCACAAGGAAATGCGAGCCCAAGGTCTTAATCCTGTCCAGGACACTCCTGGCCTCTTCTTCTTGGAATGTCTGAGGCATGTAACGCACAGACTGTCCCAAGAGCCGTGACGGCTGCCCACTTGAGCTTTCGCTTTGCGCATCTCCCAGTGCCTGGAAAAGCGACTGGCCATAGGCCTCTTCGGTATAGAGGCAGACTGCCAGCGGCACATTGAATATTATAATCCAGTTCCAAAGGGCGATGGCCTGGACGGTGTCTGGCGGCACCGTTCGCACGAAATAGGGGTAAGCATCCTTGTTCGACAGGAGGGGGCTGGTGGCAGAAAAGGAGATCTGTAGAATCTGCTGGACTGCTGCCTGAAGTAAAGAGATACTAGAAGCCAACAATAGCAACCAGAGGACCAGAGAGCGCTTCTACGAGTACCTCCAAGTTGCTGTAGTTGCCATGGGCAAAGCCACAGATGAGAAGGCAGGCCCGATGAGACCAATGACTGGCTCTTCACCGTCGAGGCCAAGAATCATATCCAAAGCACTGGCTAGTCCAACATCTGCTTTCCCCTTTGTCGCACCTTAGCTTTGCAAAGCTAAATCTACCCTCACCCCCCCCCCCCCC